TGTGCCCACGAAAAGTTATACTCTGGGCCTTTGTCCTTCATGTTGTCAACCACGTTTCCGGAACTGTTGAACATCGCGCGAAGAACACCCAACGTATCGGGGATGTTCTTTTCTAAACCGCCGTCAACCGGCTTCGCGTCTTGTCGATAGATGCCGATTCCAGAGTCTTCAGTGGCACCGAGAACGTCGAATGCACTGTTACACATCAGGCTGTGGGGGTGGTAGAAGTTCTTCTCCCCAGGACTGCTCTCATTGCATAATGCAACGTAGGCTTTTACATGATTCTTGAATACAGCGTCATTTTTGACGGCCTCGATTTTGGATGTTATCTCGTCATTCGTCCGCCAGTCGGCAGGAAGATGTAGAATATTGGAGAAATAATGGTCGGCGGACATGAAAACGCGGTCTCTGAGGTCATCTAAGATGTACCGGTCGAAATCTGCCACAAGATGATCCGGATTCGCTGTGGGATTCACAGTTGGGGCGTGATTGCTGAGCGGAGTGCTCTGCACAGAGGAGCGTATCTGTTCAGCTACAGACTCTTTTGGCGGTGGAGTCTTCCTCTCTTGGGTGGAGGGGAAACCAGAGCCATCATTCCGAGGCGAAGAATTCGAATCGGTTTTCGCGCCCAAAGCCATAATATCACGATGATAAAACCGAGTTGGGTAGAAAGCGAGTAGGGGGTCAAGGAAGAATACAGCGGCAGCCATTTTTGCGTGATTTTAAGGTCGGTTGCGTAGAACAATGGTGGTAGTGACAAGGTAAACTTTCGGAAACACGCGGTCATGTGGCGTCAATCGTATTTCAATTTGTTACAAGGGGGCGGCGCGGCTAAAATCAGGCAGAGGGTCCTGACATTAACCACCATACCAACTCACTTTATATAGTACTATAAGGTGTGCAGTGACAGTTTTATGATGCTCTGAAGCATTATTACCATCCCTTTTCCTTCATATAATAAATCATGGCAATTTGTTAAAATGGTATCAACTTAGTTGCCGACTACTCGGCTTATCTCGCGGCAAGTCGCTGATACTATGTACAAATTAACTGCTATTTGAACACCAATAGAGTCAGAGCAAACGGCTCCGAAATGACTTCGGCGTCGAGTCATCTATGTAGCAAAACCATCGGCCCTCTTGCCATCAACGAACAATGCCTCTGAATTAGCCTGCGAGGCTCTCAATACTTATTTCCTTGTTCTTCCTTGACAAATAATCTGCCGTTTACATAAATCATTTGCAACTACGTGGCCGTTATTTTTTTTTGGGAAAACTCATTGTACTTCTGTCCCTGTCGAACCAATATGCCGTCGTATCGGCCTTCGCAAATTTTGCTGTCCACGAAGGTCCTTCCGTGCTGTCAGGCTGATCGGCCGAGGCAACCGTGCGTCCAAAGGTTTATCGCGTTGGCGACCCAGAGGATAAGTATTATGCTCTGAAGGACGTCTGATTCCCTATGACGGCATGACTGAGGGCGAAATACAGCGGCCCCCTTTTGAAAATATCCAGAACTCGCGAACAGACAATGAGGACCTCAAAGAGCACTTTATCGAGATCGAAGACTGTGAGCTGGTATCCTGGGATGGGGAAGTTGATAAAACAAGCTCCTTCATGAAGAAGCCACTTCCCGGTCATTTCCAAACTTCCTTGCTCGACACCGGAGGGCGCACCTAACGGGAGACCTGCAAAGGCAGGAGTGGGCCTAGGGAGTCTAAATGGTGATAAGAAACACTGCTGGATCGCGTACAAGGAAGTAGGCACACTGTTGGATTCACTAACGCACCCTGGCATCGTCCTACGAGCACTGGTGAGTGCCGCAAGTGGTACGACCCTGTCTCTGGTTGCATTTGATGTCGCATTTATACTCAAGGACCTGGCCAGGACTCGAGTGGATGTATAAGGGTGGGTATGTGCACCGAGACCTCAGTTCTAATTTAGATGGAGGGTTTGAACACTGCCAAAGTAACGGATATGGAATACGCAAAGATTTTTCTGTCCGATCCGGGCGTTGGAGAAAGGAAAACGGCGAGTTGATTTCTTACGGACCACTTTGACCGATTGTCTGACATTGATGATAGGGTACTGCTGTTTTCATGCCAGTTGAAATCCAAGCACAGAGTTATTTATTTCCTCTACCCATCGTTAGCTGCGATACAGACGAAGCGGATGAGTATCCCATCTTTGGGGAGCCTGAGACCGAAGGAATTGAAGATGGTTCCTCCGCTCTTGAAGACCAGATTCGCATTACGTCCCCCACAACTTCCTCCACGACCTAGAGTCCTGGTGGATTGGAGAGTATGCATTGTTCTCTTTGTCCCAGCCTTCGGGACGGTTGTCCACCTCGCACATCAGATTTCGAGTTACAAAGGCTCTATTCCCGCATTTCTCTGCAGGATGTACCTTGTTTCTATTGACCGGTGATGGCCGACATGCATGCTCGACACATCGCAAATCTTCCGAGTCAGTATATCGATGCAGCGAGAGCTTTATCGAAAGCCAGAGGTTTTCTATGTAAACAGTACTTGCGCTTGGAAACAAACCCGGACTTTCCCAATGTTAAGCGCTCAAATTTCTCACAGATATATGGTTCCCAATCTTCAAATCAGCCGTACATGTCCTCTACAGAAACAAAACAATACCTCTGACATCGCACAATGATTACCCTCGTTTCCCCTATGGTTACGTCCGAGGGATTGTGGATAATATCTCGGATGCCCCAAAATTGGCTGGCAGCGTCCTCGGTCAAGAGGTGGAGGTTTACACTGTCCCAGCCCCGGTCAGTCAGCACATGCCTGCTCGAGATGGTCCCAAGGATGAAGCAGATCCCAGCGATGTACGTGAAGATAACAAGGCTCGACGTTCTCTCTCCCGGACTAGCCCCGCCGACTTGGAATTTCGAACACACGACGTTCCAAGCCAGCAGGGAATATGGACGGCTGTTTCCTAGTTGTGTCGCGGGAGAGATATTCAGGTTGGTTCTCGTGGCGCTACGGCTTCACTTTTTTGTGTTTCATGTAGACACCGTGTTTGTAACTTATACCCCCGGGCTTTTAAATTTTACATATATCTTGCTGAATTCTCTATAGATGGTCAGAGAAAGACGACACCACTTGCATGCTGATTTCTTGTCGCTTTCTGCATCATGAAGATAGCGACGGATTGCCTCGATACAAAGTTAATTGCGCTTAAAGGGCAAATAATACACACCGTCACTGATTTTAGTTAGTGTCGATGACCTCACAGAACTCTCTCCTTGTGCTCGCCTTTCTGGACCAGCTGAAATATAACTTTATTGAAATCTGTGTCCGCCCTTTATGTGTAATTCTCCGGCCTGTATGGTAGGAGGCCTACTGCCCGATCTTACTAGAGAGCGAAGGTGATGCCGACCTTTCCACTTACAGCACTACGGTTGCTCTATCACCCAGTCAGAGAAACAGGCCCAATCAGGTTACAAGACACCAGTATGAATTGTCCACGGGAAAAGGGAAGTCTTGGGTGATCCTCATGTTGACGAGCAGTCGCGCACGAAACTCGGAACAGATACCAACAATCTTGGAGGGAGATGACATTACAGGATCGCTAACTTTCTGCCTAGAGAAAGAAGAGGCCATCGACTTGATTAGAATAAAAGTCAGTATCGTTATTTTGAATATTCAAAGTCTGTCTGATGAGTATCACACAAGGTGCAAGGCCAGATATCGACCGTTCCTCTGTCTACTTCATCTTGGAATTTCCTGGATATTATTAAGGTTTTATGGTCCAAGGACATGGGAGATCCTAACATGCATCCAACGTCTCCTTTGTTAAGCGGGAAACTCGTTGGTACACACGAATGGCATTTTTCTATTCCCATTCCCAAAGAGGTCACCTTTGCGCCTGGGTTTTCACCATACCTCACTGCCGAAAACCTAGGTCCCTTCCCTCTTCCTCAACCTTTCCATGAAATGAACGTGCCGACAACTGTCCAGTATGCTTTAATTGCATCGATCAAACGCCCGGGACGGTTTCGCGGAAACGCCAAGCATGGAGTTTGTGTGTTATATCATTCCTATTGCCTCATAGCGATTTTCAGGATACAAACAACCTTCGGGTATGTCCCGATGATGCGTCCAGGCCCTCCATCAATCCTTCGTCAGCTTGCATATCGAGGGAATAGCCCGCTGCCAGGTCCCGAGGTGGATCCAGAAGGCAGGCAGCAACTCCCACCTGCTCTGCTGAACGGAACGATATTCAAAGATCGAGAGGTGGAGCTTCAATGCCTCGTGCGTGAATTTCTACTCTCTCCCCATTTCATTCAATCGATCACCATGCCTCCAGTTCTATCTTGCCAAACCTGTACGTGCAAAATGTTTAGCTGCCTACATCTAAGTTTCACGACCGCGCAAGCTATCCTACACTAGAGGGACGTCCATTCCCTGTATCGCAGCCATCAGGTGCTCTGATCGACAAGCCCTTGGTTTGCTCGCGACGCCATCTAGTATCCCAATGCGACTTCGTCGGTCTGTCACACTTGACTTGCCTTCTTCCTCGACCGAACTTCGCGATCGGGGTATTCGCAAGGACAAACACCGGTGGAGAGACGTCATCCAAGACTTCGGGTCCTGCATATGGTGGACTTCTGGTGACCAGGGATCGTGTCGACGGTTGGAAGGAGAGATCAAGCTCTGGGAGGGCTTGAAGCCGACTTGCGACTTCGGGAACTTCAAAGTCCAGGTCAGTCGGTAAAGGTTCCTGAGTGTACATGTTGACGTCGTTTTTTTCAGTATAGCGTTGTTGTCCTGCCATTCAGCGCTGCTGCATTCGTGCCTGCAAACCAAGGGTCGCTCCTTGTGGAGCAGACGATTACGATTGGCACGGTTTATGCTCCAGGTCCCCGGCCAGTATTCTATACTACCCACACCGAGTTTCCTTTTGGCCAGCTTAGTTGATTCCTTGTGTTCTGTGGCGAGTCCGTGGCATGATAGGAAATGGTGCACCTACGAAAGGGAAAGATAAAGATAATATCCAATTGTTTACTTTGATGAAGCTAACAAGTCGGGTGGCAGGTAAGTTCTTTCATCATCAGTCTCAGTGTGAACGGAGGAGAAATGAAACATGTACATCACAGAAATGGGAAGAAGAATAAGCGCTTGTCTGGAAGTGCTTAGCGGAACTTAGGAGATACCCATAAGATTAATGATAGACTGGAACGACTTGGGTTATTTCCGAGTCACCTGATCGGGATTTCGGTCCGGATTCCCTACCAACCAGCAGCCACGACTTGCACCAAATCACCACGAGAGCGGACAAGTGTTTGCGGAATATCTGAACGTTAAAATCTATTGCGATCAAGCATGGCTCTGTGCTCCTCACTGTTATCCATGCTCGCTTCCCTTCCTTGGCGGCTATGGCTATGTTTCCCTAAATCCATCCGATCTTCAGTATACATTCGTCTCGCAAAGTGGTATGGCATCTCAGAATGGAACGTCAAACACCTTCCCTTTGGCCTAATCCTCAAACATACCTACAATCGACCCCCAGAAATCGAAGCAAACACCATCAACTTTATCCGCAAAAACACGTCCATTCCCGTCCCCCGCGTTCTTGACGTTCTTCCTGACATCCCAACAGGAACTGAATTCACAGACGGATTGATCCTCATGACGAAAGTCAAGGGAATCACCCTTTGTGACTGGCTGTGGGCTAGGACCAAATATCCACCCGAGTTTTACCATTATCTCGCTCTCCTTCAAGGTCCTTCCCACATGCGAGGCACACAGAGCCTCAAGGAAATTTCTGAAATTCTTCGCACCTTTGATTATACCCTCGATCTCTCGGATGCTCCGCTTATCAGCGACTTGAGACAGGCTCTCACAGAACTTCGTTCCCTTCCTCCTCCCTCTTCGGGTGAGGTGTCTGGTCCTAATGGTTCGCCATTCGTATACATGCGTTGTTCAGATCGCCGCGTGTTTCAGCCTTTCAAAAGCATCCGTGCTTTCCATGACATGCTCCTTGCAGAAGTGTCATGTGAAAGTCGCATGCCTCGGTTGCTCCAGCTCGCCTCTCCTGTATATGATAAGCCCCATAAACTTTGTTTTTCTCACTGCGATCTCCACAAAACAAATATCATCTTCAGTGAGGAAGGTCGGTTGGCAGCTATCATCGATTGGGAAGCGGCAGGGTGGTTTCCTGAGTATTGGGAGTGTACGATGACGGAGAGGCTGAGTATGGGATCGGAAGTGATGCACACGTTTTGGAACGCCGTTGGTGTTCTTGGAAATGGCCTCTATGATAAGGAATTGGAACTGGAGGAGGCCCTCTGGCGTAGTACTGGAGACCTGGCTATTCCTCCCGGCGTTATCCCCGACGATCCTCTCGATGTACCTCTTGATGATGCCATATGGTGAGTTCCATTCTTGTGCTTTTATTTTCTGTCCTCATATTTTCGTAGACTTAATTCGAACCCTGACATCAAGTTTTACTTTCTAATCTGTTCAAGGAACGTGTGGGCCATTTCATAGACACGGGCTCCAACGCATGCATTGTGAGTCCGCCCATTTTGTTAGAATCGTCGTCACCGGGCTTGACTCAAACCAAGTGAATGGCAGAAAGGGTTTACATCCGTGCTATGAAATAAACGAGCACGTAAGTAAATCCATATGAGAACCCAAACGACGATCTATTGTCGCCTCGTAATAATCTCACGCATTTCAAGTTAGTATTAGTAGAAGTTTCATGCAGCCGATAATTACGAACCTTCAAGAAGTACTTGCAATAACTTGTTGGAGATTAACCTTCGCAACGGCGCTTATGGGCATTACCTTGACGTAAACGAAGATGACTTCCACCATTGCCTTTAGCCCAATGACCTCAACAGCTTCTCGTAGTACGACTCGTACATATACTCCAAGATCCCTGGTTGCAACAGTGTCGACACGATGGATCAATCCCTCTGCAAATACTTCACCACCTCTCGTGGTTTCGTCTACCACTACCTCTTCTCCACCGGAAATATCTCCAAGCCGACCTTGCTCTTTACCCGTGGTTTTCCGAGCACCTCGTACAGCACCAGGTAGCCTTCAGAAAAAAAGATTACCCCCTTGTCGTTCCCGACATGCTCGGATATGGAGGAACATCCAAACCTATCAATCCGATCCATTACAAACACCGTTTAATGGCGAGAGATATGGTGGACATCCTGGATGTTGAGAACGTCGACCATGTAATCGTTATTGGGCATGACTGTTACTGCTATACGTCATCCACTGCTCATCAATCAATTCACAGTGAAGCATTGCAGGGGATCGGTCATAACTAGCTGCACGGCAAATTACTATCCCGACCGATTTCTGGCGTTCGGATTTCTTTCTGTCGGATACTATCCACCAATTTCAATGTCGTACGAAGCCACGATGCAAAAGGTGCACCGTGATTTACCTTCCAGCATGTGTTGGCTACTGATGCAGACGTCTGGTTCAAGTCAACCCTCGGTACTGAGTTATTTGGTTACTGGGCTTTCTTTTCTGAGGAGGGTCCTCGTGATAAGCTGGACGATAGCACCGAATCATTGTATAGCCTTCTGTACTGCGATGATCCTGAGCTTTGGAAACGCCATATGGGACCGCCTGGGGCGATGAAAGCATGGATAGAGAATAAGCAGATGACTGAAGTTGGTTCATTCTTGACTGAAGAGGTGAGCTAATAATTGCATTAAAACTTGAACACGCTTACGACTTGATCTAGGATAGACAAGTTCAGAGAGAGGAACTACGCAAGGGCGGATTCGCAGCCCCCATTTGTTACTACAAGGTCGTATATACTACCATCGAAGCAGATGACTTCCAAGGTAATGCGCATCGTACCGTTCCAACCTTATCAATGCTCATTAGCTTCGAAGCGAATCCCCCTACGGCTCTGAAGCTGACCAAGCCCGTATTCTTTGGTGGTGCTCTGAAGGATTTCATTGCATTATACAGCCTGAACGAAGCATCCACCAAAGAGAGCTGTGAGGATGCGACTATCCACATCTACAACATGGGTCGTTGGATACACATGCAAGCCAAAGACGAGACAAGCCGGGATATGTCGATGTGGATTCAGTACGTGGAAGCCAAGATAGTGTAAAAGTGGTGTCGAAATCAAACCATTTGTACAATTATAACCAGTTGTATGATTTATAATGGACAGGATTCTCATCGAAACTTTTGGTCTGCAGAGTAAGGGAGGCATCATCAGGCGTAGTCAGAGGATTCGTTCCACCGGCAAGCACGCAGATCCGACTATGTTCTGTCACTAGATGTCAATGGGTTTCCGGACCAGACAATCAACGAGCCATTGTTGATTCTCCTTAGATCGCGAACCCTCATTGTAATCGTTTGTAATTGAATCACGACGCTACAAATGAATAACCAAGGTTCACCAGCTGATCGCTTTATCCTCTAATTCATCCACTGCCCTGAAACCTTCATCCAAGTACTCCCTAAATGCCTCTTTGCAGAGCACATTCAACGGTCACCGAGTGTCTGAAGAGGTACCACTTCCAGCTAACAGGCACGTCACCTTCTTGCGATATATCGTCGCCAAGGCACACCACTTTTCGACTAGTGGCGTTATGGAAGAAAATGATGGCCCGAGAGGCAACACAATGTCATGCAGGTGGGCGGTATACGCTCTCTTATCTTCGGCATGCACTTGTATGTCGTTCGTGGAGCATTTCCTGTTCAACTTCCGATTTTTGCGGCAAATTTCAGAGACGGCCCAGCAAAGGACCCATATGAACGACTCAAGATCATCGAGAGCGGTATTGATCGTAGGGGTAGAAAGTACTTGTAGAAGACGAATCAACATGAATCGTAAAGGCCCAGGCTGAAATATGTCATCAGACGACACATCTCCTGTGTTCTCAGCACGTACCGTTCCAGGCTCCGAGACTTCCCTCGTAGTATCAAAGAGGGGTCCATCTTTGATGCCTTGGTTATCGTCGACGAGTATCCTTGTGCATTTTCCTAACAGCGGCCTTGATTCAGGTGTCAAACACAGTAAACTACGGAAAACATCCTGAGGATCAAAATACGAGGGCAGCATACTTATCAGTACGCCGCACTTCTGGGTTCGCCAAAAGAAGAACACTGCACATGTTCACACCTCTGTAAATCCATTCATTTAGGTAGATGTTAGAGTCCTGCCAAAATCGACTCAGAAAAAGCATGACAAATTAAAAAAGTCCGCTCACCTAACATGGCGTGTAATATAGCTTTTAGTAAAATCCGTACAGTAGCCGCTTCGCGAAGATTCTTTCATTCGGTCTTAATTATTTCCCGGTGAAGAACCCTCTCGACAGATTCTGCCAAAAACAGTCGACAATGTGGCGTGGTCAGATAGCAGACCCCGTGTGGTGATTGGATTACCATGACAATCTTTAACCTCATACGCTGCGAGAACTTCTGGTATGTCAAAGCAACATGAAACGCCTTGAAATATGCTTTGGCGCGCCTCAGGAACCCTTTAATCCGTTATCAACCACGAATCTTTTATGATCAGTGAGAGAAAAGGTTGATACCGAGATCTTTATATGTGAGAGATATCCAGTCAACGTCCATTTGGTCAGTGGTACACCAGTCATGGTCTCCCGACTCCAATTTGCGTGCGACTCTCGGTTTTACTTGCAGATCAAGATTCAGGAAGCATGCAAACGCAGGGCGTATTCAATATTCACCTTTCATGACTTTGTACATGGGAAATATTCTCCCCACGATCTCGTAGACTTGAAGTATTTGGAGCGCAATGGGTCTATGCCAGCGCGTGTATGAGTAAGGCAAGATAGACCTCGGACAGTTTTGACAGCGTCTGTGTCTTTTGAATCTAAGACCATAAAGTTAGAGTGCAGAAAACTCCGGCACGCGCCACAACGCAGCCCAGAATAACCGAGGGGTACAACGTGAAGGCTCTGCTGAAACGGAGTCCTCGCGTTCCAATTTGTCCCTTGGATGATACGAATTTGTTAGTCTGAGGACTGAAGCAACATGGTCAAGAAACGATGCCAAAACACTGTACGCATCGCGACACCAATTGCGCATGGGCACCATTCCTTTTGTGCAGTGGAATTCTTCGGAAGACAATTCCGTGGTCTCATTGATAATATTGAGGTCGCCATATGAGGGGATCGGAAGACGGTCCGAAATACGGACTTCGAGCGCTTTGCTCTGCAGTTCTTGAACGATATCACAGATTGAAATCTCTCCCTATAGTTATACTAGGATACCGGTGTCCTGGTGCCCCGGGATAGTAGGCCAGTCCGGTTCGCTAACGACCTCTGCATCCAGCAAATTTGGCAGCGTCATAGCAAGTTGAGCTTGGTATACATTCATGTCTTCTTCTTCTGAGTCCAGCAATAGTAATGGATTGCCCAAACTCCGAAATATTTCGCAACAACGGAGTGGTATTTAGCCAAGAAACAGTTAGTCCTGTTACTTGACCTACTTATTTCCCACGCCACTCATCATGATCGAAATATAAGACCTACTTGCAGAGAATTTTGAATGTGAGCGTATTTCTCAGTGCATCGTGTAAGATCGTGCTCCATCTTGATCATGAACCTAAGTTACAATATATTATTAATATTTCTCAGCTCATCCACGTGATTAGAACGCGGTTGTCTGATTTTGAAATTCATCAATTTCTTCTTTCTTCCTTTCTTTATCTCGGCATCTCTTAGCCATCCGCGACTGGCTCCTACATCTGGGCCAATGGCAGCGTAAAGAAACACCATGCGAACTACGTGGCATCCTTGATATCTAAGCTAACAGTCTGGACTCCTCGTTCAATGTGTCCTGATTCTAATTTGACCAAACTATCTCTCAGGTTGTTGTTCGACCATGGCGAAAGCACATGTTCTCCTCCCGTTCTATACTGCATCTGCGCTAAGACAGATTCTTCCAGATTCACCCATCAGCCAGTATAATTTCTCTACTGAAAACATTTGATCTGTCAATCTCAAAGTGCCTAGGGTTATGCGGACTGTATTGCCTCTTGGACAACATCAAGCTTCGCTTCCAAGGTTTGCTTCACCCTTGATAACGAACCCAACTGTATTTCTCTAGCATCTTGTATAATCCCCGGTATCATCTCCAATCATACCTAGTGCTTCTACTTCTCTAAATTCGACATCTTTCGCAGGCGCTTATGGTTGAACACATATTCCGGTCACCAGACCTCGTTTGTATTCTTGTCAACTTGGGGGCGCTTCATAAGCGCGTCCTCAGCTATGCTATGCCCCGTTCATTCCGCGTTCATTGCTGCTTTCCAACTGCCGAATTTTTCTGACAGCAGCGCTACATAATTCTCCCTTGCATTTTACCAACTTCCCTCTCCTGTCTTGTCTCTCCCACGTCGTCCTAAGGCTCTGCGGGCGAGAGATGATCATTCGAAGCTATAAACTTGGAACAATCCGACAAGGAACCATAATTCGAGACTCTAAGATTGCATCGTTTCTCCCGCTATTGAATGATTCGGGCTATGGTACCGCAGCTGGGCTTGGTCACTGTCCGTTATTACCGAGCTCATATTCCATGGCATTTTCTGGATGTCCGGGCATCTCGAGAGATGTATACCTTTCGTAACCCGGCCCTCGCGGAAAGAAGTGTCCTGGGTATTCTTGACTGGACGAAGTCCATTCCTTGAGAAAGCCACATTTGGGTGGAGTAGAACCTCGCCTTACTATTGGTCAGCTGCCAACGTTTCGTACGTTAATGTCCAGCTAATCATAAGGCTCACATAGATTATGAGTCCTTCGTGATCTCAGTCGCTTGACCCTCAACCAATTGGCGAAGCACCACCTACAATAGAGCATCTACAATAACGGTTATATGGAGGTGGTCGGCGATTATCGATTTTCGAGGACACTTCTTTCCACATCCCCATCAAGTTGGGGCACATCTACGAGCCGGCCCTTCCTGTGATCCCGAACATTGACGACGTACCTCGAGAGGCCCGTGATAAATTCACCGAGGTCAGATAACGATGCGTATTCTTAACTGTCCTAATCAGCGGATATGTCTTTAGATGATATCTTTCTGTCCACGGTACCCTGCGGGTAACGGGACAAGAACATGAAACTCGTGGAACAAAACCTTGAACTGCGGCTGTGTGGTGCACGTATACGCAACTGTATTTTTTCCGACATGGAAACGAATTCGCTGTGTAAATCTAACAATCCTATCCACGCTTGGTTTGATTTAAAAACAGAATCGACCGATCAGACCTTTCATTTCATAAGGTCGACTATGCAGGGTGATGCTTCGAGGATTCATTGTCCATGCATGCATTGTATACTCCTGACCATCCATCAAAGTGAATGTACAATTCAAGTTAGTGTGTTGAATAATTTAGCCGAGTTAGTCCATCAGCAATCTATCCAATGCCAGAACTGAAGTCATATGCGATGCCAGTGTTTCTTGATGCTTCAACTTTCTCACCACTTAGAGAGGACTTCTCGACGCTGCTAGAAGCGGCCCTAGAGTTCGCTTCCATCGCGGTGATAGCGCTACGACGAAGAGGGGAGACGCCAGAGGTGGATCGTTATTCCTCTTCTTAAACTGTAGGAGTGGGTAATTCAGATGTATAGGGGTACAGATAAGAATAAGGCTCTTACCTCGACCAATCAACGGCAGACAGCTATGGGGCCATAATATTTATCCTGCACTGGTGAGAACTGCTACCCGATGACCTATTTTTACCAACCTACGCTACCTTAACCCAGCGGGACTAGGGAGCAGGTATGAAGAGCTAATCGCTTTGATGCAGTACAAAGTATACAGCAAAGATAGGAGGAGCGTAGACAGGGTATGGACACGCAGCTTTCGTCGAAGGGATATTGCGGCTTTCCTGACAGGGGAATCTATCGATCAAGATGGTTACCGATGCATAGTTTACGCCAAAGCACATGCAGCACATTTGAAGAGAGAGGGATGAACAACGCGGATGCGCAAGTCGGACAACCGCTCAAACCCAGCCATCCATACGCTATATTCGAGTATGGAGAGTCGCATGAAACCAATACAGGGAGTTGGTAATTCAAGACATGATCACCGCGATAATTTTGCGCTCGAACCTCAACAAGTAATTTGGGGGAGCTTCCAGCGGGCTTGAGGAAGCGTTGTACGCGTGGTACGTTGGGGAAGAAAGAGGATGGCAGCTCGGCACCTTTGAACTCCGGACCGAGATGCCGAGTAAGTTCATTAGCACCACTGTTGAACAAAAGTCAATAGAAGAAGCGACCGACATGCTTCCAGGGCGCTAGGTCTCTCACAGGCTGGAGAGATCCAGGCCATTTGATGACCCCAGGCCAACTAATGTTAGTCATGTTTACACAGCGTATGACATCTTGAACGAATGGTCGACCGATTTTCCGCCTAGACAGTATGAATCCAAGCAACAGATCTTTGACCTCATCGTTCGATTGAAGAGGTACGCCATCGTCGATTGAATGTCGGGTCCTTGCACAGCGCCGAGCCGCTTTATTATTATGTCCAGGCACACGTATACCTTCGATGCGCCACCGAAGCGCACAGGCATGGCCTGTTCAACAGCATTGGTAGGGATCCCTTTTAGATATATGAGCCACAGGCCATTTGATCTCCTGTAATTGGAGTTACCTCGCGCATCATCCGCCTTGATGCTCGAGGTCATGACCTCGCAGCAAAAAACCATACAAGCAAGCCACCTTTACGTAGGGTCTCCATCTGTGCTCGATGGTTGATCTTGCCACAGCGATGAGTAATCACCTCTGTGGCAATACATATCCGATACACCTTTCCAATCAAGAAGGAACCAGCCGTGGTTGTTCGATAGTTCTCTGACCAGGATTTGAAACTGTCCAGCGGAGCCAGATGCCCTTTGCAGTGCACCGCGTCCTAGCAAACGATGATACTATACACAGAGTCGGGGGTGTTCCCGTTTTTGTCAAGGAATCGTCCTCAGATAGGCAAGCCCAGGATCCGAATAGCTCCGTACCCAGAGTTTTCCTAGGCTAAGATGGAACGGTTAGAACAGTCACCTGAAACAGTAAGCAGCGTGGTAGACAGACGTCTTTCTATGTCTTGAGGGCCAAGAGGAGGATAAACAGCCGAACGTGAAGATGCGCCTTTCGTAGCAAGTTCGCTATTCGGCTTGCGACGGCTGAGCCCCAGCAGCTAAATAAGTCCCAGGTAAACCCAAGCCGTGGCTGGGAGCCAAGTTTGACTTACCGGTCATGCGCAATAGCGATAGCGCGATCGGTATCCAGGCAGCTCTAAGGATATCCTTGGCCATCAGAATGCACCTATAGTAGACCGGGGACACGGGCTCTGTGTTTCTCCATATTGCAGGATATCCCGTATTGTAACGGCACCCTTATTCCTTTTCTGAGTAAGCGAGTTGATCCTTCCAGTCAGAGTACTCGAAGAGCCACGGAGAAAGATCAAGAAGGGTCTGCTAGTATGACCAGGAGAGACAAGATATTGATAGACGGACCCTCAGGAGATTGTCAGTGTAAACATGGGTCCATGGTGGTCATCGATGAGTAAACCATCCGGGGTTAGGACAACTGTAGTGAGAATTCTGGCTACAGTGGCGTTGCATGGTAATTAGCACCATCGTTGAAGTGCGTATGAAACATCTGTAGCGTTCTATTATTCCGTAACACGGATTTCCTTCGCAGAGAGTCCCATTTGCTTGATTCTGTGTTGTACCCGCGTCTTTCACGGACGCGTTGAGGTAGAAAGCAGTGACTGGCGGGCCGGCAGCAACCGGAACCGGACGTCACAGCCACTTTGCTCTTCCAATCTCGCAACTCTCAGTTCGACAATCGGCTCTTTCTTTGGTATTTCTATTTTTTATTTTTGATTCTCTGGTCCCGTACTGGTCCTTTGTCTCAGCCTCTCCTGCGTGTTAGATCCTTCCTGTCCTGGCTTCCACGGTCACGGTGTGAACGGAAGTCTTGGCCGCTAGATCTGAAGCAACAGATTCTTCCAACTGATGCCGAGTTGCTATTACCTCTGATGAATTTTATACTTCGTTCCCATAATTTTACCAGCGATTATTATTACCGTTACGACAAGCTTCGGGTTCTCGTAAGTACCATTCTCCGCCATCAAGTGTCTAAAGCTTCCAAGCCAGTCGCCTTTGGTTAACAATATTCATTTCGGAGGCTGTACATGTAATCCTTATCCATTGGATACCTCAAAGCTGCCTATCATAATCATTCATCGGAGCGGCCTTAATGAAATAGGCGTATGTCGGCTGTGCGGTCAGTAAAGCCATTTATTCGATGATGACGAAGGAACAACATACAAATATACGTGAGCTATCGTCATGTCTCTCGTATGATCCATATATCTGACTTACCCAAGATGGCGTGTACTCCCTCGGACACGTATTTTAGGACGCGCCGTGGAGCCGAATATGCGAGGTCATTGGACTCACCTTAAGACCGCCACCCTTATGGTTGTAAGACCATATACTTATACGAAGAGCCCTTCTTGCTCTTCGTTGTCGGTGATAATAACATCCAATGCGAAGCATGATGGCCGGAATGAACTGTATTGCGATGGCGGAGTGTAAAGGTAAGAGATCCAGAAGCCCCTTATTGCACCTTGTGCATAGCCCGACAGGATACTAAGATGTTTAGGATATATGTTGGCACAGTGTATGTGCTATAATTAATGTCGGTACCGAGCGGGAGTAAACCACAAAGATGCGGTCTGTCATTAATCTTAAGTCTGGAGCGCCTGAAACGTGACCAGTACTACTCAAGTACCTGGGAAAACTATTTGAGTGAAGCAGAGCAGAGCGTTCGTACGTATTCAATATTCGAGGCTCAATCGAAAAATTCCAGACTTGAGAGGAACGACGTCCGCGACAGAGAAGGGCCGAAATATGGGCAGATCCCTAAGGCGCTTGGTATGTGTTATGAAATACCATGCGTCTGAAACTGCGAGATATCTCAAACATTACAGATTGACTTGGAGCTCCCGACACGGGCGCTGCAGCGTGCTAGCAGGAAGAAGAACATAACCCCCGTCAGAACCATCATGTGGCGTACGAACATGGATCCCTAGATTGGTCCAGGCCCAGATGGATGCTCCTAACATTTTGAACCGACATTATACCTCCTTCGTCGATCTCAAGGTACCAAGATCAGTGCGAACGCGACGTCGAACCGGTACATGTAGCGCCGCGTAAAGTGCCCTACCTGATCGACCCTGACGGAACCTGCCAGCCAATGGGAGCCTGCAGATCGAAAGGCACTGTTGCCCTGACTTTCTCCCGACCTGGTTGAATTTAGAGTTGACAAGGCGATGAATCTCTGCATTCTAGTGCCTATAAAGGCATGTATCGTTGGAACTTTCTTTTCCCATCCACCCCCCTCCTCCCTCCCTTCATCCGATCCCCATCGTCATTCCGCCCATTATATCCAATCGATCGTGACAGTCCCTATCATTGCTCCCGCTAGTCCTGAATTGTCTCAGCTTGCCACTTCTATAAATCCTCAAGATACCTGGGCTACCTTTCAAATTTCCACCATGTCGAGCTACAACAACTTTGGCAATGGTATGTCCCGTGCGCGTCGTTGTCTTCTGCCTGCTGACTGGATAGTTCAGAATATTATAACGCATACCCCGCGGCCATCGCATCTAATAAATACGTACCCGTTTCAGAGTCATTCCCCTCCCACGAGAGCTACTATGTTCCCAATGGTAATGTTTTCTCTTGCATCAGCCTCGGCTGCCGCTGAACTGTCTTTGCAGGATACGTCGACGAATACGGGGCATCTAGCTCAGTGTACCAGCCTAGCCCTTCTGTAAAACCCAATACAGCCAGTACGTGTTGCCATCGTTCTTCGCTTCCCCATCTCCATCTTATTGCTTCTTCTATCAGTCCCTTTGCACATACCTTTCACACCCTCCCATAACACGGCCCAAGTACAATACGAGGTCGACGAATATAGTAAGTACCCGCCTCTGATTTCCAATTTGCGGGCCTTACAAGAATCTGCAGCTGACGTCTCAACCGTTTCACCTTGGCCTCAAGAATACAACATGTCATTTTCAGGGGCACTCACCTCATCGGAATCATGGACACCCTTTGGTCCGACGACGGCTGAATCGACCCCAGATCGTAAATGTTTTCGTTTTTTTTTCACGATCATTTCGCACATTTACACTCGTGACAGTTCTTTTTTCCTCTCCCTCAATAACGGACGACTGCACGAACGTGTTCGATATCCAGTTTGGACATTCGCTACAATCACGCTCACAGGAGCTCGAGCGAAGTATGTCCCCGATTTCTGCCGTCTCTCCGGAGTCGTATCCCTCTCGCGAGGTCGCTCGTCCACCGACAACGGCGAAGAAGTCAGCTCCCTCCCAAGACGATCAGTCTTCCCCACGCCGCCGGCACCCGTGCCTCATCCCTGGATGTCTCCGACGCTTCACCAGCCAGTATACGCTCAAAGTACATATGCAGGCGCATAAACCCAAGCCCCGCGTTTCGTTTTTATGTACGCTAGGATGCGGTGAACGCTTCTCGAGGCAGCATGATCGCCTTAGGCATGAGGTTGCCAAACACAACAAGGTGTGCGAGTTCTCATGCGAAGCTTGCGGGCGCTTCTTTTCGATGGCCAAAACCTTGGGCAATCACAAGTGTCCTCTTGCGCAGGGTGGCACAAGATGGGTTCATCACTAAATGATGGGGCGTATCATTCGGCCATATTATTTATCACATTTTTTTTATTTTTGTCGCGATCTTCCTACGGTTTGGGACACGCCTTTGGGTGGACGATTGGAAAGCATCAAACTCTGTACAATACACGATCGCATTAGATTATTATCACGCTGCAATGGATATATCATGCCAGCTCGAACCTTGATGATTGTCCAAACTCTTGGTCGGACTTTGTCTATCTGAGCTACTTGAGTTCGAGCAACGGGACGCCACAATAAGGCATAGCCACTCGGGACGTGAAACCAACCGCCATCATCTGATCCTTGAATGATGCCCAAGCTATTGAATAGCTTGGAAATTAAGCGCAATTGAATTCTACTTCTTTGGTATACCGGGTGGTCCTTCCGGTTAGGTTCTGATACACGATATGGATCATTTTCGGTGCTATTACTAGGATATCGATATCTTGTTTCACGGTGGTTCACACTCTCTGGAAACGACGTCCTTGGTTGTTCAGCCCTTCTTTACTTGGCCGAGTCCTTCTCGAGCTCGCTACTGGCCGGGAAAAATATATCACCTCTTTGTTACCGATTCCCGGGAACTCGGGTGTAGAGGAAGGACGAAGTCCACGGATCCGTATTATTCTTGCCTGCAAATGCTTGATTGCACGGGCCGTTGCTGATGGAAAATCTGGGCCAACGCTTTGTCCGACTTGCATGCCTGAACTTGATGCCGATCTCGAAATTAACGAAGTTACAGTACCTTGCTCGACGCTGGGATGCGCGCCCATACCTGACAAGCTGCGGTCCCTTTGCCAGCCCGGGTGGTCATCAACCGTCTAATATCTAGCCCGTTGAAGTCGACCGCGATTCAAGTTGCTCGGTATTGATGTTCGGAACCTGGGCATTCGCGGCTCTCAAACGACACCGGGAGAACCACGACCAGAACGAAGATGCGCAGCTCCTTCAACTGAGTTTGAGAAGGAGCAATGGTTATGTATCTTCCGGGCCGGCAGGATGACGAAGGTCGGGGGTGTCCGTTGACCAGAAAGAATGCATCGATTTGTTGTTTGAAGAATGTTTTACGCGTGTGTCATTGGCATAATAGGACTAGCGCATTTGGCAGAAGGACTCGAAGGCAGTGTTGAGTTCGCTACTGCTAGATGTCCTGCCTTCTGGAGGCTTCACCGAAGACTTGCAAGTCGAAACTATTTCCCTCATGCAGATCATGTTTCAGCTTTCCTTAGAACTTCCGAAGAACAATGAGACGAGTGGCTTGGGAGCTTCTGTGTTTGCAGCTGATATCCTACGTGTAACGAACATGCATGAATCCGAGGCTGCAACTGTTCGCTTTGACCACACAGGTCTCAAGGGCCAAGCGTGGAATGGAACTTTAATCGGGACTTGTTCGCATGGATTTATTTTGCGCGGAACAAGGAAAAATAGATTGTTTTTTTTTTGCCTAGCCCATGAGGCCTGAGGCCTTGAGGCAGCTGCACGATTTAGGGCCAGTGGTAAATTCGTTTATCAAAGATGCGATTCAAAATTTAAATAAATATGAGGTACACGCAGTTCGCGACGCCCAATGTCTGTTATACAATGTATGCACAGACGTGGGCGTCAGATCGTGAGTCATACAATACATATATTATGTATCGATGTGGTGATATCCTTCGGCACCCGCCAACATTGCAATATCTTCGACGTCCCTGGGTAATTCCACGTTTCCCCACTCTTTGTATTATATCAACTCCCGCCGTTGCTAAGGCCTCCTAGCCTTCCCTAGAAAGACTCTAAGGTCTCTTGACAGGCCAGCAGTCGAGAATACAACGGCATGGGAATTCGAAGTGGAGAGTTTTTTTTCCAAAAGAAATTGGAATTAGTGAAAAATTCGATGGACACGCGTTTTGTCAAGGAGTCTCGCCCAATTTGGGGCCCAGAACGTTAATTCTCAAGTCTTCAAGGTTGAACATGAACCGAGAGGAATGCTGGAGCTTAGAGCAGGCTCAGAGTTTTACGGCTTTGAAATAGGTTTTCGTTGAATACTGGGGTCGGTAACTTTCGCACATTCCCAGTCTTCATCGACATCCGACGGCGACATTGTCACACGTGCTATGTTCATCAGATCCATAGCGTCATCAGGACGCAGCGATCTCAGTCATCCATCGAAAAAAATATACCCCTTTGTGCCCACAACAATTTGATTACAGTCAATTTGCGCATTGATGAGATCGATTGTAGGATCGACACCAGCATCCGACGACGTTGGGCGCTGCAATTGGGCGATAACTTCGTTCTCCTCAATTTTTTTTTGTGTCCGCCTTCCCGCTTGCTTCGGGATCTGAGGTCTAAGGGGCGTTATTCAATTGAACGTCCGGAAGTGGATTTTTTGAGGGGGGATAATACGTTATGCGCCCATCGTACGAGAGAGTTGAGGCGCCGGTTATAGCAGCGCTCGTATGCCGGCCGTCTGTCCTTATTGTAAGATATTCTGTTCCCGTCAATGCGTAGAATCCATTCAATAGGTTGGGCGATAAATGTTACGGTCTATCGTGTGGGTTCTAGCTACCGTGGCGCCACTGAGCTATTTTTGTCCGGGAATGAGGAGCTTGGTATGTTGAATGAGCCCCATATATCGTAGTTGGAGCGAAGGGGGTCGGCGGCGCCTACTTATCAGAGGCGCAGCGAAGCTAGACATTCCCTTCGCGCTTGTGCAAAGTCCGAAAGCTTCTTCTCCGCGACGCCGAGCCTACTTCGTCTTCTTCTGGCCCCTTTTACGTCTGCATACTCGTGGACAGTTCGTGCACCGCCTTAATCCAGAGCCAGCAGCCAGTCACGATGAACGGTAATTGGTTTCGACAGAGGTGGAGTAACCTGGATAAGCACTTATGTGAGCAGGAGAATACGACGGTCTTGTGGGTGGTGTCTGGCTTTGGAGTTCCACGGTGGCGGCGTGTATCGGGTACCTGCTTCGACATCAAGACAGCTTCCGGGACGATCAGCGTTCCAAAGCGCAAGCAGGAGATGCTTACCGACCAGCCATGGTGCTACCTTGCAACTTAGATGTGTTTACACTCCGACGTGGCGACGCTATTAAGAATTAGCGCCACACGTTTGGCAGAAGATTGGGGGATGTTTGATTTGTGCCGGTTCTACAAGCTTAGACTGACGGGAGGCATTTAGATGGTCTGCAATCCCACTGGTGTGTGTCGATAGCATGTCACTTGAGAATGATAGACACTTCAGAGAGAAATTTTCCCATCTCCAATTCCGCGTAAAGGATATGGTCTGCGTAAGATGGGTTCCCGTGGAAAACATAGTTGACATCATCGCCTGACGTTGTTGTTTACGCTAATGAAAATGAATACTTTTGCAGCGAAAGGGCCGCTGACCGGTCTTTAGCGTCCGGTAGTACTAGTAGAAAAGAAAACTCGCCATCAGTGGATCTGTCTTGTCGTAAGCATCTTCCCCGCTCGGTGTCTCAACAAAACTCACAATCAATGCACAAACTTTGTTATTCGATATATATAATCAGGTTTCGGTTTAGGCATGGGCGCACTCATTTTGAGCTGTTTCCCACCTTCCTTGGTCCGATAGTCGACGAGACCATCTTTCTGCACGTCTTCTAGCCAATGGACAACTATGTCGGTGGTCCACCATCGGCTGGAATCAAACCAATCAGGTACAATGGCATCTATGGTGGACTGGGGAGGATAGAATAGGGTGATATATGATTCATTGCCAATAGTGACTGGCGAGAATTTGACTAACACATGTACCATCAGCCAGGGCAGGATAAATGTGAGCGGGCGTGCTATCATTAGGGAGCAGGCCCATGTCAAGAGCAGTGACCGAAAGATACAATGTCTGTGGGCCATCCCACTTGAGCTACGGATCCAGATCGACAGTTATGCTTGATAAGGTCATGGAAGTCGATGAGCCTATATTTTCCGTCGAGACAGACAACATTCTGTTCAGCAAAGTCAGTGGGATGACGGCCCGTCAGGAAATGAAACTCTACGAAGACGTGAAGGATTTTCTTCCTATGAAGCTGTTAGAGCAAATAAGAAGTTTTCCGCGAGTCAAGCGCACCGTTACTCCCACGAAAGCTCAGAAAAGTCGACGTATGCCGCTGGTTTTCCCCAGTCTTCCTAGACTAAATAGTCTAGCCCTGGTGTTCGTTCTTGTACTATCCATGAAATTGGGTATCAGAGGAGCAAGAGGACCTTGATAGCCATCGGCCTCGCGGGTGAAGTCTTCGAAAGACTGTTGGTTGGTGAAAGTTTTGAGAAATACATTCGCGCCAGCTACATTTGCGCGGTAAACTTTGGAATGAGGACTGACATAGACCAAGGAATGCACTTCGATTCGAAGGAAAGGATCAGAAGCAAAAGCTAAGGTAGAAGCAAAAACCGGCGACGACCATTACTCATTTACAGCAGTCTGTTCTGTAGATGTTTCCGCTTCAATGGAGAGCGGGATGGTAATGGTAACAGTCATGGCAGTACTAGGTAAAGGGGCCTACCATTAATATTAATAATAATAAAAGATTTTTATCATTTCTAAATAGAATTCTTCGCCATCGCGAGATAATCGATAATTCTTGCCGTTCACTCGAATTTAGCACCAAATTCGCGAAGACAATCAAATTTTGGGCCACCTATTTATCTACATTTCTGGGCACCAATGAATAGATAATAGAATCAATGTTATGAAGTAATGAGAGATCCTACGAGATCACTCTTTCTTGCTTAACATTCAACAACAAAGATCAACGATGTGCGGCACTTGTTAATCCAACAGAAAGCATGGTCAAAACAGTAATGAGTGTTTCAGAGGCATTACAAGCATCGGTTCGAAAAAGAGCTGGCTCATTTTCGAACGAAGGCTGTGCTGCCTTGAGAACTGTCGGAAGGGTAGCATTGTATTGCAGGAGCGTATCTTCTCGCAAAAAGTGTGTAGTTGACGAGAGGATGTGTGGTCTAATGGTAATAAGATTCTCACCATCGTGGCAATGTGTGCCGCGAGAGTACAGCCGGTCTGGTTGTCAATCCGATGCTCATTTACGCATCATCTCAGTAAAACTCACAATCAAGAACAAACTGTGTTTGCATGTAATGGTGACTTTGCTTTCGCGTTTTCTTCAGGCTTCTACTCGATGACGACCTCTAGGTCCTCAAAAATCATTTCATTGCTGAATACAACCTGATATCTTAGTACATATGAATGTCGCTACGATACACGGCATCATTCGTACCATACACTCCACCTAGCACAGAAGAAACATCTAGATGAACGGTTTCCCCCGTTCCTTCTGCAAAGTATTTCTCATATATACCCGGAACACAAGCGAAGAACCAACGTTCCACGATTGACTTCTCCTGTGCACTTAAGGTCTGCACGGCCGCGATACTGATAGCCAGATAATTCAGAGCCAGGTTCCTGCCGCAGAGAGCGGCGTCAAAATTGCGCCAACCGGGCATTGCCACTTCAGGGAGGTCATTAACGTTGAGGTGCGATTGGAAGGTGATTATTAAATACAACTCCTTAAGTGGAGCGCCAACACGAACAGCACTCAACGAGTTGGCCCACCACTGGAACTCTGAGGGAAATTGCCAGTCGCCGGGATTGATACCGAAACGCAATTCGACAGCCTTGAACGTGTCAAATTTCAGTGGGTCGAATTCGCTGCTATCTGTAGGAAAGGGATATGGGTCATGGAACCCCTGTGAAAAGGACAAACAACTTACCTGAGTCAGTGAAAAAAATACTTGTCATTGTCACCGAGGTGTATCCTTTGCGCGGATTTCACAGCATCGCAGTCTAGGAACCACTGGAAACGATATACATGTTCATCCTCGGCATATTCACTGCTGAAAGTTGATAGGATATCGTGAGGTTGCAATCAGGTCCATAACGACCACATCGGATGTCGTGTTTATGTCCAACCGGAGGTCCTGTATAGGGCGGTTCAAAGCCGACTGTGACTGAGGAAGGTTGCAGTCGGGGGAAGAAAAGTCCACACCGTCCTCACCATTGGCCACTGGATAGGCATATTCTGCAATGATGAGCTCAGCAAGTTTGAGGTGAGTCAAATGAGGAGAGCTGAGGACGATGGAGAATTCGTGGAATGTCAACTGAACGGCCCTGAACTCGGGACTGGTGATGTTTCCTATTTTTTTTTTTGTCCTCAGCATTTGATTAACCGCAACAAGTAAGCTAACTACTAAGACGCGGTGGAGGTACAGGGCCTCAGGATCCTCTTTCCCTCTTGTTCCAGTCCCTCCGTTCTTCCTTCTGAGTTCCCCGGGTGTTTTGGCGTGTAGTGTGGAGTAGAGTAACGGACATGTATGGTATTTTGTGCCCTCGTGGTGGGCTAATTGGTTCGTTTGATCCTGCGGTTGGCTGAAGCCTGGGGTGTTTTGCGAGCGTATCTTGGGTGCTGGCTGTGCTGGACATGGTCTATGGTGTGGTGGGTGTGCGGCAGTTATCCATGCTCATCTTCCGTGTCGCCCTCTTCTTCTTCCCACCATTCTCCTCCTTCTTCCTCTTCTGGCTCTGGAGCGAGCTTCTCGTTTTGTGGTTGTCCCGTCCGGGTGAATGCTCCCGTGTTCTCCATGAACTCGCTCAGTGCTGTGATTCCTTCCTTGGTGCCAAGGATGTCTGGTAGGTAAATAGTCCTTGACACATTCCGGAGGATCCCCCGTTGTTCTTCGTAGAGGGGGCATTCCCGCAGGATGTGTTCCCGTGTCTGAAACAATTCTCCACAAGGGCAGTCAACGTTCTTACTTGGCACGAATTGTGAGTAGTACTCGCCTATGTATCCATGGCCTGTTCT